GAACATGTGGAGGAAATCAATGCGGGCAGGTCACTTGTATACAGAAGGAACAGCACTGGTTCCAAGACAGAGCCTTAAGGAACTCCACTTGCTACATGATGAAGGTGAGACTGGCTATCACTGACGCGCACAGAGAAAGTCCTCCCGGTGAGAAAAGCCTTAATCCACAGTAACAACTCGCCTCTTATTCCCATACATTCCAACTTAAACAGAAGCCTTCTATGTGGTACGCGATCGAAAGCCCTAGAACAATCTAAGTAGATTATATCAACAGGAGTCTTTGTGTCCAGATACTGAGTCCAATCGTTGAGAGAGTGGAGAAGGTTGGTCATTATTGATCGACCAGGGAGAAATCCATGCTGATTCTTAGGGATAAGGTCATTTTCGAAAGCAAATGACTGGAGCTTATCTAATATGATTTTTTCAGCTATTTTGGCGGCGATAGGAACGAGACTTATTGGTCGATAATTTTTAGCGGAGGATTTGTCGCCCTTTTTGAATACAGGGGTAACAGAAGCACTAAGCCAGCATGAGGGTAGGGTATGAGATCTAAAAGACGATGTGAATATCAAGCTTAATGGTAGGGCCAGTGTTGAAGCGCAGTTTTTAAGTACAGCAGCCGTCATCCCATCTTTACCAGGGGAGGAAGAGGTCTTCAGATTTCGCAGGTGCATTAATACATCTTCAGGCAGGAACTCAACTTCGCAAAGGCTGTTGGGACACCTATGGCAGATAGTGATCGGTAGAAGGTCTCCATTAGGCTCATCGACGAAGTCATCACTAAAGGACTCTGCCAGTAAGTTGGCAGATTCGGTGGCATCCATGTGGAGATGACCGTCAGCGTCGCGGATCTGAGGTGATGAAACTTTGGAATTCAGGTTTGTTCTTAGATACCGAAACAGCTTCTTCTTATTTTTGGAGGTAACGAGTTTTCGTTCATAAGCATGTTTGGCATTATGTAACGTTCTAGATAGGAGGTTAGAAAAGGATCGATGAGACACGTAATCTTGTGAATGGCCACTCCTCCTAAACCGTTGCCACAAAGATCTCTTGTGACGAAGCATCCTCGAGTTGATCCAGGGCTTTGAGGGGTCACAGTATACCTTCTTTTCAACAGTATTGTCAGCCGTTTCGCTTAGGACTCGTTGAGCGAAAGTGTCCCACATATCTTGGGTGCTACGGTTGTTAAGCAAAGCAGGCCAGTTGACTTCAGACAGGGCTTGGTTAAGAGCATCGTGGTTTACAATTTTGATGGTTTTAAACTTATCGGTTGCAGAACGACTATTTATATTGAACTGGAGAGAAGATAAAAGTGAACAATGGTCAGACTTGCCAAAAGGTGGCAAATAATCTAAATTAGAAACAAAGTCTGCGTCGTTAACGAATATCAAATCCAGAGCCCTAGGCGTCTGTCCTTCCCTGAATCTCGTTGGACGATCAACAAGTTGAGATATGCTAGAGTTGCGTAGCAAGTCGATGTAAGCAGCAGAAGAAGAATTGCATTCAGGAATGGTTGACATAGGCCAGCTAATGTCACGTAGATTGAAGTCACCAGCTATGAAAAGGTTGGTGTTTTTATTTAAGAGATCTGAAATGAGACTGCACAGGTGTGTGTCTCCCAAACAGGGCCGTGGCCGATATATGCAGCCTATCGTGATTGTATCGAGAATATACACTAATCGACGTAAAAAAAGGAACACCCAGTAATAATGAACCGATTATAAAGATTTTCTATGTATAGTGGAATCCACCTATAATGAACTTGCTTATAATGGAAACCCATATATAATGGAAACAATTTAAGGTCCTATAAATAATTCCATGTAAAATCCTTGGATCTTATAGACTCGCTTAAAATAGACCCTTGCTTATAGCGGACTATTTTAATCCATTATATGAGACATATTTTGGTAGTTTGCATTCGAACTTGGCCACCTGTTTTTATTAGAGTTATAAACATGTCAAAAAGTGCGAAACGTGCATTCACTTTACATGAAAAGTTCACAATAATTAGCGAGCTTGAGCAGGGTTCATCTCAAGCAAATATATATGCTTGTATGGCTATAAAAAAATCCACTGTGTCATATATTTGGAAAAACTGTGACAAAATTAAAAATGACTAGAAATCAAATAGTCAAAAAAAAATGCGTCTATCGCTGCATCCCCAAGTCGATGATATGCTGTTTAAATGGTTTCAACAAACGAGTGCTGATAATTTTCCAATAAGTGGACCTATGCTACAAATAGAGGCTGAAGAATTTGGCAAAATGATTAGAGATTACTTCAAATGTAGTTCCGGTTGGATAGGCAGGTTTAAGAAAAGACACAACATAGTTTTTGGAAAAATGTGTGGTGAGTCAGCTTCAGTTGACAAGAACATTACCTATGACTGGATTTATCAAGTTTGGCCCGTAATATCCAATGATTATTCAGATGATAACATATTCAATGCAGATGAAACCAGGTTATTATATAGAATGCTACCAAATAAAACTCATAAATTAAAAGGTGAAACTTGCAATGGAGGAAACTATCAAAAGAGCAAATAACTATTATGACGTGCTAATGCTTCTGGTACTAAAAGACGAAAACTATTGATAATAGGCAAGTGAATGAATAGAAATTCATGTTCTAATTTTTTTGATATTCAATGGCAGTGCTGCAAAGAATTTATGACCTTTTTTTATTCCAGGGAAATTTTATAATCCCAGGTATTTAAAAATGCTAAAAAAATTCCCGGCGATTATATTGGAAATAATAAAGCTTGGATGACTTCATCAATTTTTGAAGAATATTTAAAAAAGTGGGACGCTGAACTTGTTGAGAAAAATCGTAAAATTTTGCTCTTGGTCGATAACTGCCCCGCTCATCCAAATATTTCACTTAATAACATCAACCTTCAATTTTTCCCACCCAATGTGACATCAGTTCTGCAACCAATGGACCAGGGTGTCATTTGGAGTCTTAAACAAATGTATCGGAAACGTATGTGGATGAAAATTATGGAGCTTCAAGAGGATGTCAACATTACCAAAGCTGTCACCATTTTAGATGCTACAAATTTGCTTACTATTGCATGGGAATTGATTACTCCAGAAACGATTCGTAATTGTTTTCGCCATACTGGTTTATTGAAAAACATAACTGAAATAGTCAACGATTTTAATCCAGAAGATGAAATTCCATTAAATAATTTACTGAAAATTAACAGTTTACTGAATATAGACAAATTTAGTGAGTATGTAAATGTTGACAATAATTTAATAGCAACACAGGAATTGTCAGACTCCAATTTGATTAATGCAGGATTCGTTGATAACGAACAGGAGGACGAACTAGAAAACAACGATGAAGAAGAGCTGCCAGTGACAACTAAGGAGACATTAGACTGCGTGAAAATGTTACAACGTTATTTTCAGCAAGAAGAAGACAGTACAGCTACACTTACCGAATTAAATAAAATTCAACTTGCTGTTCTAAATAATTATACAAAAAACAATCTGTTCAAATGAAAATTACTAGCTTTTTCAACAAATAATTTATGGTTTTTACATATACGTCTACACAGGACGTATGCCTGTAATACACGTATGTGTATCAGATTCGGAAAAAATTCAAATTTCAAAATTACGTATATCTTTTGTATTGTAGCGTTTTTCTGGGTTCTTTTGGGTGTGGATTAAAACACTGGATTCCACAAAAAGAAATGCACTAATTTATTTAACTTGATAGAACATTTATACACAGTATACCACTATTTATGTCTGACTAAATCTTATGTCGCCATTGACTGCACTATACTCCACTCCGCTCTGCTCTGGCGTAACCTGCAATTATATATAGTCACAATTGCTGCTTCGAGAAGGGCCGGGTGAACCACAAAGCGACATCTAGAATATTGGAGGTCACTTCGCGTCGATCTATAAGGCAATCCACTGTCAAGGTCTCACAGACGCCGCCAAGCGGCTTATGCGGAAGGGGTTCGCGTAAAAGCAGAGATCGGCCATTAAACTATGGCGAGTAGGAGACTCGCCCGACAGGTGGCGCCAACAGAACTATTTGTCACAGTATGTATCTTTATTTATGTAATACATGTTAAACAAACACAATTTAAGCTTTTAATATGTTGTTTCTTTTAAGATGGTCATCCGCCTCTAATAGACTATTTGTCACAGTCCCGCCGAGTCTATTATAAGCGGGTTGCACTGTATATGTTTACTTAGGTTAGGAAAAAAGATAACCAGCTTTTCAATAATGTTGATAAAGTCGTTTTTGTGGTATTGTCTGTACTTAGTAAAAATAAGTAAACGACGGTTGGTCCCTTTGAGAAACAGCCACCAGGCTGCACAGAAATCTAAACACGGTAGTGGTTTTCTGTCTGTCGTGGAATTGGTAAGGCAGTATACTAGTATATTTAATTGTTTATCGCCGGATCAACGATATCGGACTTCATACCATCCTCAGTTTCACCTATTTCTCACTCCTAGACACCGAATTAATCGACTTCTTTGATGCAGAGTACGGCTGAACTGGGACATCGAATGGAATGCGATTGTCTTAGTGATGAATCCAGATTTTGTTTTCAGATGCACGATGGATGTGCAAAGGTGAGAAGGCGACTGGGTGAGAGACAAAATTCTCAATTTTCTATAGAAACGTAAGTGCACACTGTTTGAATTAAGCCTTTGGTGTTCATCAGAGGCACTACGACCGCTGTGCGTTACATCCGAGAGGTAAGAGAACCACATGTTTCGCCATCATCTGATTGGAAGTATGGTCAGACGTGTTTCTGAGTGCATAAAATACATCGCGGAGACCCAACAAATCATTAATTTTTTTACATCTTTTCAACGATTGGATTTTTCTAAGACCATAATCAATTACTTCTGCTAATGTTGTGGACATGCTTCGCGAATTGGAGTCAGCTGTGGATCTTTTTCTACCAGATAGTGATTTGTTCGCTATAACTGGTCATCTAAATATAAATATTTTAAATCTAGATCGTAAAACCAAGCTGTTGTATGATTTCCTTGAGGCATATAATTTGACACAGCTTATTGAATCTCCTACTAGGATAACCAAATCTACGAGTACATTGATAGATTTGCTCATAGTAGGTGATCCGGATATCTTGACTTCTGTCGATACACTTGATGTTGGTATTTCAGACCATTGTGTTTTGACTTTTAAAATTAATTTCCCTAAGGCGAGTAGATATGAGAAGTTTTTAAGATACCGCGATTATTCAAAGTTTGACGCAGATTTATTTTATAACGATCTACATTCTGTTATTTGGAGCTTCATCTACACACTACCAGATGTAGACTCTATGGTGGATCATCTTGAAGTAAATCTTAAAACTCTCTTTAATCGCCACGCACCTTATCGTCAAGTGAGGGTTAGTAAGCCGCTTGCTCCTTGGCGTACATATAATTTAAAAATAATGATGTCACTTAGAGATAAAGCTTTTAAAAAATATAAATGTATTAAAAGTACAGCGGCTTACAACTACTATAAGGAGTTAAGGACTTATGTTACTGGTGCGATCAGAGGAGAGAAAGCTGCGTATTTGAGTTATACCCTCACCAAAAGAAATCAAAAACCAACATGACTTAGATCTTTGGAGATTCTGCGCGAAAAAAAATTATCTGAACTACCACCCAAGTTAAAGAATAGCAACACTGTAAACGCATATTTTAATAGCGCCCCAAGTCTGGCTAAAAGTCAACTTCGAATTGATATGAAAATACGATACCCACGTAATGCAAGCTCATGAAGATTCTTTTAGATTCACAACAGTTAATTCCCACGCTGTGTTCAAATTTCTTAATAAAATTAAAAGCAATGCTGTAGGCTCGGATAATATTTCGTTACGTATGTTACTATTAGTTTCCTCTGATTTGATAGAGTATATCACGTTTATTTTAAATGTCTCAATCACATCTGGAACATTTCCTCTTGCATGGAAGCATGCTTTGGTGAGACCAATACCTAAATGTAACTCACCTGATGAGCTCTCTGACCTAAGACCGATTAGTATTTTCTGCCTACCCTATCAAAACTCCTAGAACTCATCATGAAAGACCAAATGCTTACCTATGCTATTCAAAATAATATTATTACTAGCTTCCAGTCAGGTTTTCGTCCTCATCATAGCACCTCCACGGCTTTAATGAAGATTACGGATGATCTTATTAGAGCAACTGATCAAGGTAATTGCTCTTGTCTTGTGTTACTCGACTTCAGCAAAGCTTTCGACAACTTAGACCAAGACACGCTTCTCATAAAATTGATATACTTCGGTTTTTATTATAACTCGGTTCTACTTCTTGAGAGCTACTTAAAAAACCGCACTCAGAGTACAGTTACATATATAGATGATAATTACTCTTCCTCGTTGAATAAGGTTTTCGGTGTTCCACAAGGTTCGGTCTTGGGTCCACTCCTTTTCAGCTTATACACAAGTGACTTTCATGATTTTGTTAATTTTTCTCAGTTACATCATTAAGCCGTCGATACCCAGATATATATATCGTTCTCCGCATCCAAGGCTGTTACTCCACAGATTGAACTGAATAAAGATTTAAAATCTCTATATAACATATCTATAGCACAATTTACAGCCAAATCACGTCATGATTTTTGGCAATAAAAATAAAAGACCTAATCTGCATGGCACAGTTTGAGTTACTATAAATGATGTATCTTTGCCAATAATCAGTGAAAACAAAAATCTTGGCATATGGCTGGACTCTGATCTAAGGTATACAAAACATGTTAGTCACTTGTGCCAAGTCTCCTATAACGTGTTAAGACAACTTTATCCCAGCAGGAGTATATTATCAAAATTCATGAAGGTCAAACTATGTGAAGCTTTGATTTTGTCTAAACTGGCTTACTGTGACTGCATATATGGACCTGCCCTTTTGCAAACAGATATTCTACGCATTCAGCGAATTCAAAATTCTTGCATCACGTTTGCATATGGTATCCGAAAGTATGACCACATCAGTGAGAGCCTTATGGATTCTGGTTGGCTTACCATGATTAACATAAGAAAACTTCATTTTCTCACATCAGTACACAAGATCGTTACTAGTGGAACACCTACTTATCTATACAATAAACTTACCAGACTGCCTGATAATAAAGTAACTCGCAATAAACATCTTTTGGTTATTCCTAAATATTCAACAGCTCTGTTTAAGCGCAGCTTTTCATACAATGCTACGAAACTGTATAACAGCTTGGCAGTAGATCTCAAGAATCTGAGCCTCCGAAATTTTAAAAAAAGATTGAAAGCTGATCTCCTGCACGACCAAGGGCCTAAAGTATAAGCAAACCTCGCTACGTTTTAAAGGATAATGTCCCAGTATGTTTCTTTTTAAGTCGCCTTGTTCTTTTTTGCATGAATTGTGCTCTCATAAAAACTGCATTGGCCATGCACTCGTATGTTCTGTTTTGTATTGCATATTATCTTTTTTTTATATATATACAACATTTTGTATGAGTGTAATTTTTTTGTGGGTTTAGTTGAAAAGCAGCTTAGGCTGAACTACGCCTTTCATCATTTTATCTTTAATTTTTTTTTATCCTCAAGTTATTTATAATGATGAATAAAGACCATTTATTATTATTATTACTTACCCAACCCTAAGTAACATGTATACACAAAGACGTTACAATATTACTGGGTGCTCTATTCTTTATGTCACTCTGCATAAAATAATTTAACAGTAAAGACTTTACCCAGTCCAACTAGCCCTAAGCAGTTAAAATCCCTTTATCTTCTCAAGAGGATCTAATAATTGATTTGTATTAATAATAGGGTCGACAACCGACATCTGGTAGTCCCATCTCAACTACGAAGCAGATTGGTCACTCACCCTTAACTCGGAATAGAGGATGTCATGAATATCAAGCAGTAGCAGATCCATATTCAGTTAGACTATAGGCAGATGACCGTCTTGCTGCTGTATTTCGTATCAAAAAGTTCTCAGTCTCTCGTTAATGTTAGCTTAGAGCGAATAAGTAAAAGGAACTTTAACAGCTTTGTAATACCAATACGATCGACCTAACTTACTTTGCCACGCCAACGCGGAGATGTGATTTATATGTAAATTGATTGAGTAGGCGTTGAACAATGAATATGGCAAAAAATGAATGGGAAAATTGTTTGGTCTGAATCTCTTGAAACTTAAGGATTATGGAGTTCTCGAATCTAGATACAAAGCATGAGCAACCATCACATTACAGGAGAAAGAAAGAAAATCTTTTCGGTTTATATTTAATATTCCTTCGTTTGTTTTGAAACTCCAACGTTTTCTATAGAGTGTGATTATTTTAAGGCTGTAATTGATGAAACAAGTTTTTGCATTGGATACCTTACGCCTGTTGTAAGAAATGATGAGGCAACTGAAATACTAGCAAAGTTACTACTACTAGATAAGTTATTATTTTGATTAAAATTTATTTGGAGTACATCTGCTATTCTTTAGAATAGATCTAGTTTCACTTGTGCGCCCTCAATATTATTCGTCGTTAGTCGTGGCAGATATTTCACAAACTATGATTCAGTAACTCTGATACATTGGAGCTAAAACAGAGCCCTGGGGTATATTGATTTCATCTGGCAAAGACGTTTTTGCCACCAACCAAAACCACCTGCGACCGGTTATTTAAATATGGCTACATGAAGTTGCAATCAAGGCAATCGACGCCGTAGTAATGACATTTGGCTACAAGCAGCTTGTGATTTAATTTATTGGCCCTAAGCGATTTCATCGAGGTATTTTGCTAAGGACATCAGTATACGAGGGATGTCTTCTAAGTTTTGCATATAGAAACATAGTAGGCCGCGCGGATCGAACGTCAGTACTGAATCTTAACCTCAATCTTTAGTAAACTTAAATTCATAGTTCCACAACAATACGTGCAGTGTTCTCACTACAGTGAATTTTTAAGTGTCACCAAGTCATTAAAAAAATGGAACTCAACCGAGAACATTTTCGCGCATTAATTTATTACAACTTTCAGAGACAATTATCGCAACAAGAATGCCTTGCTGAGTTACTGTCTGTTTTCGGCAACGAAGCGCCACATCAGTCGACAATTTCCCGTTGGTATGGAGAATTCAAACGTGGACGGGTGAGTCTTAGCGACGAAAACCAAAAACCAAAAACGGCAGTCACCGAGGAAAACGTCGATGCTGTGCGCAAACTCATCATTGAAGATAGACATGTGACATATCGCCAGATTGAGGCGTCCTTGAAGATCTCAACGGCCTCAGATCAAAAAATTTTACATGAAGAATTAGGAGTAAGAAAATTAGTTTCTCGTTGGATTGACTGAAGAGCAGAAAGCAGCCAGGGTTAATTGGTGTAAAAAAACGCTTGACCGTTTCAATTCCGGAAACTCAAAAAATGTGAACAGCATTGTTAGTGATGATGAATCGTGGATTTACTGTTATGAACCATAAAATAAACGACAGTCGGCTGATTGGGTGTTCCAAGGTGAAGGAAAGCCAACAAAAGTCATCCGTTCTCGAAGTGTTTCGAAAAAGATGGTCGCCACATTTGTGTCAAAAGCGGGTCATATTGCAACAATTCCTCTAAATGAGCAAAGAACTGTTACTGCGGATTGGTATACCACCATTTGTTTGCCAAAAGTCATCACCGAGCTTCGAAAAATCAACCCCGAAAGAAGAATCATCCCCCACCAAGACAAAGCAAGCTCGCACACAGCCCAAAAAACAAGGCAGTATTTAACGGAAGAAAACGTGGAATTATTGGACCACCCTCCATATAGTCCCGATCTAAGTCCTAACGATTTTTTTACTGTCCCGAAAATTTAAAACAGACTGCGTGGTCAAAGGTTCCAGCCACCAGAAGAAGCAGTTGACGCATTCAAAAATGCCGTTTTCAATCTGCCAGCAAACGAGTGGAATAAGTGCTTCGAAAATTGGTTCGAGCGCCTGCAGATGTGTATTAGTCTTGGTGGAGAATACTTCGAAAAACAATAAAGTCATTTAAAACTACCTACCGTGTTGTTTTATGTCCATATGCAAAACTTACAAGACATTCCTCGTATACAATCGCTACATATCATCTACATATCATCCCTCGTACTAATAATTTCATCGTGATTAGAAATTCACGGTTTTAAATCACTGCTATGAAAAGTAACGGTTTTCAAGAAGGAAAATCCACGCAAGATCCAATTGCAGTTTTGATGGAAAACGTGTATACCAGTCTAGACTTGGGAAACCCATCGGCCTGTGTCTTTATAGATTTAAAGAAGGCATTTGATACAGTTGAACACAAAGAATTACTAACTACTTTGGAGAATCTAGGATTTCGTGGCCAAACACATAATTTACTCAAAAGCTACCTTTCAGATAGGAATCAATGTGTGAAAGTTAATAATTCCATCAGCGACTTGCACCATGTAACATACGGTATCCCACAAGGTACAGTCTTAGGACCTATCCTGTTCAACCTATATGTAAATGATCTTTTTAACCTACACACACACGGTAAAATTATCGGGTTCGCAGATGATACGGCTGTTTTTTATAGCGAAAAATCTTGGGATATCTTAAAGACTCTTATTGAAGAGGATTTCAGAGTCATTATAAGCTTCTTCTATAATAAAATATTAACAATCAATTATGAAAAAACTTTATATCTGACTTTTTCATGTGATGATAGGAACAGTCCCACATTCAATAACAAACACATCAAATTACCACCCATAGATGAAGTAGTAGTCCTAAAGCCAGCAAATCATATAAAATACCTAGGAATCATAATAGACAGCCACCTACAATGGGACAAACAAATAGAAAGCCTAACGAAGAGATTACGATGTCTTATACCAAAATTTAAATTTTTTAGGGAAATTCTTTCTGATAAAGACTTATGCACCATATACAAAACGTTAGTACAACCGTTGTTAACTTATGGAATTTTGGCATGGGGACCGGTGTTTAATAAATACTACAGGAAACTAGAAATAACTCAGAAATGGATTCTTAAAATCATGTTTCACAAAACTAACACCTATCCAACCGATATGATATATAAGGTATCCAAGATATGTGATTGTGGGCAACTCTATTTTGAGAGTGTGTCCACATATATTACAAAACATAAGCATTTATTAAATTTCCTCCCACATGACCATCACACCAGATCCAAAGATCATTCAGTACGCATACCAAAGCCTAAAAAGACCATAGGTCAGAGGAGTTTCACTTTCCTAGGACCAAAAATATATAACTTAATCCCCCCTCAGATAAAATATATTAAAAATACAAAGGTTATGAAAAAGCATCTAAGACTGTGGATTTTGGACCAGCATAGGCTCAAGATTCATCAAGCGATTGATATCAAAAATATCTACTACTACTGAAAGCGGAAATCTCTCTCAAGATTATTGAAATTTCAAAATGAAAAAAAAAATGTATAAATCAAACTGATTTGAATTCTTATTTCCTGAATTATGGCATTTTATGACTTATTTTTACCAATTTTTGTTCTTGTCTAATCACCTAATATTGTCTTTTGTTTCAATATTGTCTCTATCCCGATTGCGTCTACGTCCCGATTTTGCGTCTCCGTCCCGATTGTGTCTTTTTAAGAATTTTACCAGGACTTGTCTAATAAATTTTATATATATATATATTTTATTTTGTTTTGTATTTTTTTTTTTTTAGTCTTAAGTTATTTATACGTGAGCTCATGCCAAAGCACAAGTTTCTGAGAAACTTTTTTGGGTCCATTCGTTTATTGTATAATATTGTCTTTCATCTACTACTGCTATACTTTTTCTTTTGCAATAAACTTATTATTTTTATTATTATTATTATCAGGTGTCACAGATATTCAAAAACAACGATTTCGGCAATCTCTACTGGGTATTGCAAAAAATGGTGAATGTTATACCATTAAGTTTATATTTGCAGAAATGGAGGATGCGCTACATTGAAAACGTACGTTTTCGAAAAAAAAATTGCGTCAGGTAGATAGATTCACTATAATGTCGTTTGAGGGATGCGTCTGGATATAAATCAAGAGGTTCCCGAGCGCTGATCTGGTCCAAACTTGTTTAAACATTTTAATTACGAAAAAGGAATATTTTACCAAAGCCAACCGTTTGCAAGTTTCAAGCGATTCTGTCTGGAAAAACACTTTGTAGGTTTGTCATTGAAAATTATTTGAATAAGGAAAGTAATCCTATCTCACAATATCGTTAACTTGTCAACTTGCACTGAGTATCTTGGTTCGACATACATTTATAAGAACTTTTTGTTATTTTGGTTGTACTTTCTGCTGTACAAATATTATCAATATGTTTAAATGTAGATGAGACGAATCAATTTCCTTCTGGCTTAATTGCGCACCGGCAATGTTTATTTACTTACCACCGACAGACGTTAACGAAGAGGGGAGAAGCTTCGAACAACTGGATTTCTGATGACAATAACATTTGTTTGATTGAACATTTCACAAAACATGGCGTCAAGTATATTGACTCTATACCTCCTACGCCTTTGTTAGATGTTTCAAGGAAAATGAATAAAACAAATCGTTTCAAAATACGAAATCGGTTCAGAAGAGATCTGGATCATACATAGGTGTACATGTTTCTCATTTATGTCGGTTTCTCAGACCATGTCTGTTGTATACCAATGCGTCGTAAGTATTGAGTCAATGTACTTGACGGAATATTCAAAGAACCATCATAGAAGGTTTAACACAAATTGAAGGCTAAGCGAAATGGGTGGTCAATTTCATTATTATGAAATTCAGAAAAATATATGAGTAGATATAGAAACAGTTATCATTTGGAAGCTTTTAATGATAGAACGTCTTTGATTAATACTGAAGGCGTTACACTTACAGTAGTAAGTAGTTATATAGACAAGTATATCTCTTAGCTATATCTTTGATCTCAGGTACATAATCAGCAAGGGCAATAGCTTTCGGAAAGGTCTTTGTTAATTCCTTTTCGATTTTTGTAGCTTTTCGTCATTTAAGGTGAAAAAAAGAATCTTACAATACAATTACTTTTTTATGAACGACATACATCTAATTTTCTTCCATTTTCTATTAAATCATGGTTCATAATGGCTATTATACCTCGGCTACTGCCCTAATTTCGCTAAGAGGGTCTTCCTTTATTTGTGGTATTCTCTGCGTGTTATTTGCATTCACTTTCCCTTCCAGTTCTCCAAAGGAGAAAATTGTAAGCGTAGAGTCCCAGGAGACTGTGATGAACAATCGTCGGCACACCTGGCAAACATTCGTTCACCAAATGGCATTTTCAACTTGTAATGTGGGCACAGAAATTTGTAAGACTTGCACTGGAAACGAAGACCGTAACGCACGGCTTTTATGTAAAAAAACTATAAAACGTCAAAAAAAAACAAAATGTCATCTTTCAGACTAGATATTAAGGTGCAAATAGTTTATTCCACGTTTGCTCGCTCTGATTTCTATGAGAGTGCATCTATGGAGGAATGACTCAACTACGAGCCCCTTCCCACTTCAGTTGGCCCACCTCAAGATTTGTACCAAAATATGTCTTTATAAACTAAACATGACGAAACTATTTACTTCAAAAACAATTTATTTTCTCAAAAACATTTTAGAAAGACTCTAGTCGTAAAAAATACATCTTTGAAATCACTTAGACCTATAACTAATAGAACATCTGAACAAATAAACAATGTGCGAATAAATGCGCGAAGTTAACAAAGCAACAATTAAAAGATTACCATTGGGTAACATCACATTTATTTTTTATTACGGCAGAAATTCGTTGGGGCATAGTGTTAACCAAGTTTTGGCAAACATTTGGTGTAAAACAATCCCCTATTTCTTGAAGCTTTTGTCTCAGTTCGGTGATTGTACGAGCAGAATGTTGTCGTAGAACCTTTTTCATCTCGTGCCACAAAGTTTCAATAGGTGACAGATCTGGACTGCTAGAAACCCAAACCCAAACTTCGAATCGGGCCTCATCACTCCATTGTATTGCACACCATTGTTGAGGTGTCCATTGTCTATGTTCTTTAGCCTATCTAAGCCGATTTTTCTTTTGTAGTGGAGTTAATAGTGGCTTTTCTTTGGCCTATAAACAAGTTGTGCAACTTGTGGGTTTTTACATCAGTATTTTTATAAGAAAACTTACCTTGCAAGTGCTAAATCCCAGTTTGTGGGCCTCTCTATGAGTTGTGGACCTGGAAATTCTCCTTCCAACAGCGTCACTCCACAGATCACTTAATTGTGAATAATTGGTGCGCCTGTTTTTCACGATTATTCTTCTTAATGCTCTTCGGTCGGCATTTGTGATATTACTTTTTTTCACATATCGTGGCTTAATATTAACTGAACCAGTTACGTTATATCTTCTAACAATATTTCTCACACTTTACCGCGATAATTCTAACAAAGTTGCAAATTTTGAGTTAGATTTCCCAGAATTAAAAAATTTAATTATCAGTAACCGAATTTTCTCACTAATAACCTTTCCTCTACCCATTTTGAAAGCCTTAACTAACCAAAACTATTTTAAACGGATTATGACAGCTGTGATTAATAAAAACAATTGTCATGGCTTTTATTTTTCACAGCCACCTATGCGTTATAGACTTATTTTGCATTGAAATGAAAATAGGTTGATATGCTGTAATTGCAACATGTGTAATTTTTATGCTGCAAATTTGATTAGGGAGTGATAAAGTTGGTGTTTTCTACTATATATTAACAAAATATTCATTGTTAATATTTTAAACCTACCCTGGTACATTTTTATTATTTGTGTTTGATAAGAAAAAAACTAAGATTTCAATAATTGGGCCAACTGAAGTGGGAAGGGGCTCGTATGTCTATACAACTGAATCAAGTAGAAACTGTGAGATCAAACATTTTTTATTCAATACAAAATAACAGAATTATTCTAATTTGAATCCGCGTCTTGCTTTTCGTTCAGCAAAAATTTCCATCGCAGAATCCAAAT